TTTTAGTCTTTTGTAGGTGTCTTGTTTGATTTTATTGCAGTCATAGAAAAAATGTGTAAAACATCAATGTTTTATAATTTAAGACTTTATGGCCCAGCACATAGTCTGTTTTGGTATGCATACTTAGTCCCTTGGGGAAAAATATATAATCTGCAATTATCAGGTGTAGATTTATAAGTATCAAATTTAAATAAATATCAAATTTAGGTTTGGGTGATTGGCAGTGTCTTTACTGATTGAGAAACACTAAACTCTCCATTTATGACTATATTTTTCCTTTCCTTTAGCTGTGTGGTTTTGAGCTTCATGTATTTGAAGCATCCACATTTATGACTCTTAAATATCTTCTTCATGAAGTGACCAGTATATCATTAATTTTCTTTTAATGCCTGGAAACACTTGTTTTTATGGATACTAAAATATCCACAGTTGCCTTCCTATGCTTACTATTCATAAGGTGTATCTTTTCCCTGCCTTTTATTCTCCACAGATCTAAGTTTCTATCTAGTTTTACTTGCCTTCAACCTGAAAATTCCTCAGCATTCCTTTCAGTATTCAGCTCCTGACAACAAATCCTCCCAGTTTTAGAAAGTCTTAATCTTCATCTCCCCCACTGCATACCAGGGATCCAGCTCGGAACCTTGCACATGCCAGACAAACACTTAAGCTGCTGAGCTATCTCCTAGGCACCTTCACCTTCGTTTTAAAAAGTGACAAGTTTTCCCCTAAACTCTGGCTTTTTACCTAGCTTCATTGTTTTCTGCTCTGGGTTTTCCTGACAAGGTATCAACTATCCTTAGCGTAAATGTTCTGTTGTGTGAAATTTATCTTTTTCCTCTGGCTACTTGACTGCTTTCAAGAGTATCTTCCTTCACCTTGATTTTCACTACTTTCACAATACTGTAGTTCTCACACTTAGTATTCTGGTTTTCTCAAATCTGTAAATCAGTGTTTTTCTTTCAAAAATCTAGCTATTGTTTCTTTTTTTTTTTGTCCTCCCTCATGCCTAAGGATCACATTTTCCTTTTTATTCACCGGTAACAAAATCGTATTATACATAGGATGGTACATGACATTGCAGGGACTCCACATTCAGTTCACTTTCCCTGAAGGGTGCTAATTTCTCTTTTGCAATAGACCAATCTTGACTTGGTGGAGTTTATTTTTGCTTTCACAGAAGCACATTGGAGCCTATTGTATTTTGCTTTTTTTCACTAATTCTACAGAGTGAATTGCTTAGTCCAGTGAATCTTTCTTTAACTTAAAAGTATTCAATGCTTGTAAATTCTGCAAAAGCTGAGATATTCACTGAATCTCACTGGAATTCAAAATCTAAATCCTACCTTCTCTGGAGCAGGTAACTACTATATTTTCTACCATTTGCTCAGCCTTCCAAATGTTGTATTCCATTTGCCATCTCAAAATCGCCCCTGAACATGTGTCTCTCACAGGTTAGCTCAAGATCTGAAGTGACGTATACAAACCGTAGGCCATGGCTCTCCTCTATCCATACAGTCTTTTATTTTCTATTCCTTCCTCTCTCAATTTCTACTTGTACCACACCTCTACATTTCATTCTGACAAAAGTCAAGTCAATAATATTGTGGCTTTCTGGCTGAATGTAAGAAAACCTATGGTATGTGGACTGAGAAGGTCCTCACTTCTTCCTGAGGAGAATACTTTTGGTCTAAAATTTTGCTGACTTTGAGTAATTTTGAAATTTTTTCCTCACCAACATGTATAGGTTCCAAGTTAGCTCTTCTGTGGTCATTACTTTTTCTTAACTGGGTGAAAATGGCTTGCTATTTATCTGAGAGAAGGAAGAAAAAAAGGAGGGAAAGATAATAGGCATGTTTCAGAACACTGAAAAACTCGCAGCAGCTTTTTACTTTCTGTCCTTCCAGGGACACAGCCTCCGTTCAATAACTGTCTTATTTCACGGTGGCATTTATTTTAATACAGATGACTTTATCACCAGCTAGAAAACCAAAGGCCTTGACTTGCTCTTTTCTACCAAGATCTACCTTCAAATACAAGTCAGACTGAACCATCCCCCAAAGGACAGTGGCATTTCTGTAAAAGTTCTTCCTTAAAACTTACTTTCCTCTACTACTATAGAGCAGAGGAACAGAACCCATCTTCCCAACCCATTCCTTAGTTTGTTATAAGACAAAACTCAATTAGGCTCTAAAATCTTGGAGAGTTAGGACAACAGTAATATCTGCACTATGTTTTTATTTTTATTTTTATTATTTGTGTGTGTGTGTGTGTGTGGCCAGCTCAGCCTGCCCTGGGTGTGGGGCTGGCACTGCATATGGTGCTGGGGATTGAACCGCAGTCCCTGAGCCTTTGCCTAAGCAGGTGCCTTAGACCACTGAGCTATCTCGCCAGCTCCTGCACTGTTTATTTTTTTTATTTATTTTTTTTTAAATTTTTTTTTTAATTTTATTTAGTGTATGTGTGTGTGTGTGTGGCCAGCTTAGCCCACCAGGGGGCAGCCCTGTCTGGCATGTGGTGCTGGGGGATTGAACCGCGGTCCCTGTGCTTTGCTAAGTTTGTTCTAAGTAGGTGCTTTAGACCACTGAGCCATCTCACCAGCCTCCTGCACTGTTTAAATCCAAGCATAAAGATTTGTATCCTTTCAGTTTAACACAAGAACATTATCTAACAAGCCCACCTAGGAGCCATCTGACTGTCTATAAACGACAACTCTGTTTTACCTGTTACTTATAATTGGTCAGTGTCTTGTTTAAGGCATACACTCAACATTATCACTTTACTGTTCTACAAAGTATCAAGATTGTGTATATGGCCTTGTGATGCTATTACAGAATTTCGCCTTCCAATGACTACTTGTGCAACTGGTATCAATAAACTAACTGCTACCAGTTTTGCCACTTGTCTAATTCTCTCTTTGATCAGTAACTCAATGTGTATTTCTATAAGAATTATCTCTAACTTCTTGAAACTATGTGGACAAATTTAGTTGGCTTTATTGCTGCTGGCAATCTTCCTGCTACCGAGTGCTGGAATCATAGCTGTGTGCCACCAGGTCTAGCAGTGACCTAAGATTTTTAAAGCAAAATTGAGGAGACAAAGAGATGTCACTTTTTAAAAAGATGGGTAACAAAAAAGCTGACTTACCACAGTAAGAAACTGTCTGACAAATGATATTAGGAACAGCCACACAATTATTTGGCAATGAAAATGGTAAGGTCACTTACTGACCTTCTAAGGAAATAAATGCCCTCCAGGGTTGCACTAATACAATACACAATGAAAGTGTCTTTCTAACATGTTCTGACAGTTTTCCAGAAAGTATGTATTTTCTGATAGCTCATAAGACAGTGGGGGAGGAAGGCTTAATCACTCCTGGAAAAAAAAGTGACTATTTTATTCAATCTAGAAAGTATTATACAACATAAAAACTACTGTGGCCAACACAAGAGGATAGTGGTCTTGAAATCTTAAAATCTAAATAAAGAATAGCCAGATCCTTACACATACAAGTGGATCGCACACATACAAGCAAGTGGGGATCAGAGCTAGTGAAAGGGACACGTCCCTAAGGAACGTGTGTGTGGGTACATATAAATGGGTAAAGTTAATTGGAATCATTGCGGCTATTTTTTTTTTCAACCATGAGAATCAATGCAATGAGAGACTATTATTCCTTGTAACCACTAAGCTGAGTGAAAATATCACTGCAAGAGATCACCTCCCAAAGTTCTGGAATCTTCACATTCAATACACAAATAATCTCTCCTTAAAAGAACTTGCTCCGAAAATCACACATGCCTCAAATTTCTGTACATACCACACTACCAAGCAATATTCCAATTCATCAAAATTTTCTCTCTTACAGCACAATTTTCATTCTAGCCATAGCAATCATACAAAGTCATTTAAAAAAATTCTAATGATGGTATATAATCAGCTCACATTATGAACATGAACAGTGGCAATACGGACCTGAATAGTGGCCAGATCTGGCCCTCTGCTCTTTATTCAAAACTACCTTTGAGTTCAGAGCCATGAATGTGTTAATTTTGCTTTTATCAGTAGTGACAGTGGTTGATGTTCAAAGCTTGGTAAAACACTTTCAAAGACACAAACATCTCCTTGTATAAAAACAAGCTAGTTTCTATTGTATCACAGGAGTTCCTGCTAACAAATGATGACAATACAGGCTAACAATTTCTGCTGTTTTGCAGATACAAGGAAAACAGGTAGTCTAGCTCACAACTTGAACAGACTGCTCAGCAGTATTCTGGAAATAATAAACCCAATAAACAAAAAATACTGTCATGTAACTGTGGAATTTCTAAGTCACTAAGCATTAATATTCATAAAGACAGGGGTGTGGCTCAGTGGAACAATGCTTGCTTTTATCATTACTAACAAACTATCAGGACCCCAAGAAAGAAATGCAGATCAATACTAATAAAAATCAAGCAGGAAAAATAACTCAGACGAAAAAAGGAGTTCTCTTAGAATTCAGAAAGAAAAATTATAATGTTAAGAGAAATAGAAAAAGGGAAGAACTTATAGGAGAGATCTGAACCAGAAGATTACAGACAATGAAGGACAAGTTCACTCTTCCTAAAAAGAGAGAATTACTCACAGAGAATATCTTCAACCTTTAAAAAAAAAGCTTATCTGTAGAGCCACATTTTATAGAAAAGGTTACATATATTATAGTGGGCCAAAAGGGTTACTGTAATTTTCAAAAGTGTCTATTTCAAATATTCTTTAATTTCTAATTGTTCTGACTATGGCTACTTAAGAGTTATACTTTCCAATTCTAAGGTCAGCTATATAGCTGTAATTGGGACCCTTATATGCTGCCTTAACTCAGGAATTTGGATCTTAAAAGTGATAAAAGGGGACACAGCTCCCTTTTTCAGCCAATGCAAGCATTCTTTCTAATTAGACTAAAGGGTGCCAAGGCTACTCCTTGAATTCTCACTCACTTCACTTTTTCTAACTTTTATACTTACAGATGTATCAGTCCCACGGTCTGTCTTCACCTCAGAGCCAAGTGGAAGCAACACGTCTGTGGTATGCTCTGGAGGAGATGCCTCCCCAAGTACTATCAATCCCTGTGGAGCAGATGGGGGGAAGTGTAAGTGGTGTAAATCACAAACTGATTTTAGAATTTAATCTCAAAAGGGCTGAGGGTATACAGCTGGCTTACGGATGCCTTTCCCTTGTCCTGTTTTAGAGATAAACCACTACACCAAAAGCACCTTTGGTTTTCAAGAGTTAATTCCCGATCTGTGCAGATCAGCTTGCTCAGCAAGTTACATGACTCGGACCAAAGATTTTCATTCCTTCCACTTAAATGCTCTGACCTACACGTATTGTTAGCCACTGAGTGCCTTTTATTGAGATCTCCCAAATTCTGACTCTTTATCAGAGCATGGTACATTTTTTATACTATATTACCAAGAAAACTACTGGATTATAACTAGTAGTACAGTTTTATACTTAAATTGATTACAAACAGGGCAAAACGTTTACTGAACTGAAAGTGCTATTAGTGTAAAGGACGTGCTCAACCAACTATATCAGCAAAGAAAAGGAGTAAAAACAAAGATGAAGTCTTCACAATTAAAAACCAACAAGAACTGCCATAAAGGTGCGTATTTCTCATAAGAAAAACGTGTCTTAGGAACACCTAAACAAGCCTAATGTGGTGACACAGGCCTGTAATCCCAGTGAATGTGAGGCTGAGGCAGGAGCACTGTTTCAGGTTGGAGGCCAGCCTGGACTACATACAGCAAGACCCTGTCTCAAGAAAAACAACAACTCACTTTGGCACTATTATCAGACTACACCTGACCAATTCCAACAGCAAATCTTGATACTGTAACCTGGAGCACGGGGCCAGGTATTCTTTTGTTTTCTGGGGTGTCTTTTTTTTTTTTTTTTTTTTTTTTTTTGAGACAAAGTCTCACTATGTAGGGCAGGCTGGCCTGAAACTCGTGATGATTCTCCTGCCTTAGCCTCCTGAGTGCACTACCATGCCTAGCTGGGTATTCTGTATTTTTTTAAAAGTTCTTTCAGTTAGTCCTAATGTAAACTCTATGTAAAACACATGAAAACAAACTTTAGGGTTATCTAGGGGAAGAGCCAATGTGAAAACTCCAAGCCTGACAATCTAAATGACTATAAGAACTGGCGTGGCTGGAGTAAACTGTAATTAGTGGGAATTACAACCAGGAAAATAAGGCAAGGGAGGCTTTTACAGGGTCTTACAACTTGTATTTCTAGCTTTTACTGTCAGTACATATTTAAGGAGAAAAAAACAATGATATAATTTACAAATAAGATCAATCTACTATTGAGCTGACAGAACGGAGAGCGAACAGCAATGGCTGCTTAGATCAAACTGTTTAATCCCCCCCACGAATGACGACAAATTCAACCATATATGCCAGTTTGTTTATAGGGTAAATAAGAAGTAAAAAAAGTGACTATTCCAAGATTTCTTACCTCTGCATCTACAAAAATGACTTTGTTATATTTTGGCTCACAGACCTTTGGCATACATCATTCGTTCGTCCGTTCATTCGTTCGTTCATTCATTCATTCACCAGACTTGGAGTGATCCCTCCTGTTTCTCAGCCTCCCAAGAGCTGGTATGACAGGCATGTGCCACCACCATGGCAGGCAGGGGATCAACTCCTGTAATTCCCTAGCCTGGCCCATGTCTGCATTCCTCACTCTTGAGCTGAAACGCCACCAGCACACAGCTCAGTATTTCTTTACACTGTATACTACTATTTGTGTAACATATACTTTGACATTTTGTATATAAATTGTTACATCTTAAGATAAACCAGTGACTGTACTACAGACCAGCTCCATCCTGGGCTACCTGAGACAGGAACTTGAACTGCTTTCCAAAAATTTGAAGACAATGGTATTGGCTTGTTTTGCCTGTCAGTTTCTTCTCCATCTGGGTTTCACAGCCTCTATCTCTCATCCTTCAGCAACTGTTGCCTAACACACATCAGTCAGAAGAAGGAAAAAAAACTGAGATACCATACCAGACATTTGTTAAGGAGAAGAGATCTCTGTTAGCATCAGAAGCAGCTTGGGTCCTATGCTGCCCCTTCATTTTTACCTACCAGGTATGATATTTGAATGTATACATTCCAAAAAGTGACAAAAGAATGCAAAAGCAAAATGTGCTATAAATATCCCTTTGGAGTCAAATAAATGAGTTAAATTTAGCTGTCTCTGACAAGTCTCTTAACTCTTAAGATTAACTGTGAACACTTAACATGTGAATGACCTTTTATTTACATATTTGAGAGACATACATTGTTTTTCTTTCTCTAAGGCACAAAAGCACTTTGATTAAAAGAAAAAAAAAAGTTGGTCAAGTAAATTTATGTATGTATGTGTTTATCTTGTGGTACCGGGGACTGAACTCCAGACCTTAAGCTTGCCAGGCAGGCGCTTATGCCCTTGAATCTTTTTTTTTTTTTTTTTTGCGGAACCGGGGATTGAACTCAGGCCTTTGTGCTTGCCAGGGAAGCACTTATTCCACTGAGCCATCTCCCCGGCACGCTTATGCCCTAAGCTATATCCCCCAGCCCAGTCAAGTAAAATTAAAACAATTCCATAAAATGAAGGAAAGTACAGAAGAGTTTCTAAAAACTGTGTTCTTTATAATGCAACAGGGATCATTATTCCCAAGATTGTCTATAAATACAATGTGGCCGGGCTGGAGAGATGGCTCAGTGGTCTAAAGCACCTACTTAGAACAAGCTTAGCAAAGCATCAGGGACCGTGGTTCGATCCCCCAGCACCACATGCCAGCCAGCCCCGCCCCCTGGTGGGCTGAGCTGGCCACACACACCTCTCTCTCTCTCTCTCTCTCTCTCTCTCTCTCTCTCTCTCTCTCTCTCTCTCTCTCTCATAAATAAAATTAAATAAATAAATAAATAAATAAATAAATAAATACAATGTGGCCAAAAAAGGTGAATACCTAACTACTACTATGGTGGTGGTGTTACTGGGGCTTTCTCATTAGGGTATCTCCCAGCCCTATTTAAAGAAATGGTGTCACTAAGTCCCTAAACTGCCCAGACTGAACCCAAATTTGCAATCCTGCTTTCCCTAGGATCTAGAGGTCCAGGGTTCACACACAGCCTTTCATTTTGGTGTTTTCAGGCAAGATCTTGCTAGGTATTTCAGGCTGGCCTTAAACTCTGGATCCTCCTGCCTCAGCCTCCTTGAGTACAGAGGTACAGGTGTGAGCCACCAGCCCTAGGGAATAATACCTTACTTCTAACAGAACAGCCCGCAGTCACCTACCAGTGGTCCTATTATACTTGTTGGGAAATACACCATTTCTTTTTTGGAAGTACACCATAATGTTAAGAAAATTAACACTGACAACAAACTGAGGACTTAAAAAGAAAAAAGCCCTACTAGAGTTCCAATCTTCCACTCAAGGACACGTTTTTAACTCAGAATCTGATCACCAAACCACAGGGCCTCATGAAAGGACTTGATCAACTCAGGCAACTGTAATCTTGGCCAGTGTAGGTACAGAACGGAAAATGTGACCCAATACACTACTGAAGAGGGTAGAATCCAGCCATTTCAGTAACACAGTAAGTTGCCGTATCCTTAAAATAACTACCACCTTGAACAACAGTTCTGAAGCCAGATACTCAAATTTCAGCTCTCCAGGCACACAGTTTACAGGAACCCTTTGACTCTCCATTTGTTTATCTTTAAAATTACAGATAACAAGCAGAGCATGGTGGTGCTTGCCTATAATCTTAGCACTCTGGAGGCTGAGTCAGGAAGATTATTGTAAGTTCAAGGCCAGCCCCGATTACATACAAGATCATGTCTCGAAAAAGATATAAAAGGAAAAGAAAAAATGTTTATAGGTTCATATTACTATAGTACAACATAAAAATCAAACACATGTTAATACTGACAGAAAGTGCATGGGTTATTAGACACTCAAGATTCTCCCTGCAGAATGTGTATCCACCCTGAAGCTTTAGGTGTGACATTTACAACGAATTTCTGCATACTTAAGAAGAGCCCTTTACTGCAGGCTCTAAAAGACAACACGAGTAGCGTATTAGTTTTGTTTCCATTTTGCTTTCTAAGACAGAGTCTCTGTATGTTTTTTAGGGTGGCTTTACACGAAGTAGCCCTGGCTGACCTTGAACTCATGGCAATCCTCTTGCCTCAACCTCCCCAGGGCAGAGATTCTAGGCATGCACCTCCGCATCTCAAGTGGTGTACTTCTGGGGTTCTGAGACACGTTTTCACTATATAGCTCACACTGGTGTTGAACTTGCAGTGACCCTCCTGCTTCAGCCCCGCAGTGCTGGGATCATGGGTGTGCGCCACAAAGCCTGGTTTCAAGTGGCATATTTTTAAAGGAGCATCTGGACCCAAATATGCAGTCAAATACAGCCGTATGGAGACAGAAGCAACAGAGTGCTGTATGTACAAACCAAGGACTGCCAGCAGTCACCAGAAGTTAGGAAAGGGCCAGCAAAGACTTCCCTTGCAATCTTTAGAGGGACATAGCCTTGCCAATATGTTGATTTTGGTACTTTTGGTCCCCAGAATTGTGAGAGAATAAATTCCATTATTGTAAGCCACATGGTTCGTGATATTTTCTTATTGCTGTTGTTTTTATTTTTTATTTATTTTTATTTATGTGTGTGTGTGTGTGTGGCCAGCTCAGCCCACCAGGGGGCGGGGCCGGCTGGCATGTGGTGCTGGGGGATTGAACCGCGGTCCCTGGGCTTTGCTAAGCTTGTTCTAAGTAGGTGCTTTAGACCACTGAGCCATCTCACCAGCCCAGCTGCTGTTGTTTTTAAAGAACAGGATCTCACTGTGTAGTTCACGTTGGCCATGAGCTTTTGGTAACACACGCTGACCTCAAACTCACTGCAATGCCACTGCCTCAGCCAAGCAAGTGCTGAGATTACAGGTGCTCACCACCATACTTGGTCTGTGAAAACTTAGCACATTTGTTGAAAAATATTTTCCAATTATTGAGAAATATCTACTTCATTTTCTTTGTTGTTCTGAAAACAGGGTCTCACTGTGTAGTTTAACCTTGAAGTCACCATGTAGCCTAGGCTGGCCCTGAATCTGTAGCTATACTACAGCCTCAACCTCTTTCAAGTTCTGAGTACAGATGCACAGTCCCCCATACCTGGTTATAAGATGTTTTTGAAGTCTCCTCAAGGGGCTTTGTCAGTACTGCCAAGTGATGAGCTAATGAACAAAGCAGGACTGGGCATGGGTGTGTGTGCCTGTAATCTCAGCACTTGGGAGATTCAGGCAAGACTCCCCACAAGTTCAAGGCCAAGTTGGGCTACATAGTAAACACAGGGCCACCTTGAATTACAAAGCAAGACCCTGCCCCCAAATCATAAATATACATACATACATATGAATAAAGCACATAACAAAGGAAGATAAGACTATCTTTGCATACACAGCTACTAAAACCATAAACTTATATAATGTCAAAATCTCTAAACTGTTCATCAGGAACATTAAGGTATTAATAATGCCTCTGACTCAGAGATATCTTTTTTTGGGGGGTGGGGGGTGGGGGGTGGGGATTGAACTCAGGACCTTGTGCTTGCCAGGCAGGCACTTACGCTGCTGAGATATTCCCTGGTTTTTCCTTTCTAATCTAATTTAATTAAAAAACAATTGAACCATTCAACAAAGAAAGACAACTGAATACAGCAAATAAGAATATCAAAAAAGCCAGAAAAAAATTAAGGGTACATATATAGCACAATTAATTTAAACACATATGTGCATGGGTGAGGAATAGTGGAAGAAAATATCTGCACCAAACAGAAATATTTGTACTAAGCTAATTTTTAGTTTGCTGGGGAGGGAAAGGAGGGAAGTACACATACTTAGATCTATTGTTTCTTTATACTTATGTGTAATTTCCAGTTTCTAAACCTTGGAACAAAGTACTTTTATTAACTCAAAGTCATATTTTTCAAAACATCAGCATCTTTTCAATCGAGATGCATCTCAAAATTGCTGTTATGTCCTAATTTAATTAAAACTCAGGCCTTTGTGGTACATCAGATATCTAAAACTCAACAGCATCTTACAGTCTGAAATAGCCTTACTATGAGCTAATATAGTGTAACTTACACATACATCCACTTCGTACATAGATTCATGAATGCACAGAAGGTAAATGAACAAAGATATAATGTACTAATCTCAGCTGCTACTTAAACGATTCCAGTTCTCAAACACAGAAATTCCCACTTGACTACAAGCTCTAGAAGCCTAGAAACAGACACTCAGGAGGTGTCCGACAAAGAAATTCTACTTTTCTTGTCAAGATGGGCATATCTAGTCGCCATACTTTTAGTCACCATTACAGATCACATTCTATGAAATTTAACTTAAATTTTTATGTGAATATGCATGAAGGAAAGCAAATAATCCTTCCCTTCTTTATGTACTTATGTATGTATTTATTTTGCGGAAGCGGGGATTGAACTCTGGGCCTTGTGCTTGCCGGGCAAGCGCTTATTCTACTGAGCTATCTCCCTGGCCTGCAAATAATCCTTTATCAACGAAATATTTTAGTTTTGCTCTAGTTTATAAAGAGATCAGTTCAGGATTTAACTTGATCCCTACCAAGAGGGTATAAATTATCAAAACGGAACCCCCTGGGCCGGTGAGATAGCTCAGTGGGCTAAAGCACCTGCTCAGTCAAGCTCACGCAAGCACAGGGACCGAGGCTCAATCCCCAGCACCACATGCCCTGCCAGTCCTGCCCTCAGGGCAGGCTGAGCCAACCAGAGTCCAGGCGCAGTGGTGCATGCCTATAATCCCAGCACTGGGGAAGCTGAAAGCAGGAGGATCACCACAAGTCGAGCTGCATAGTGAGGCCCTGCAACCACCAAATACGTTTTTAACAAAAAGAACCTCCTGACCTATATTTTCAATTACAGTAAGTTCTGATGAACTTCTGGAAATTATATACATAAACTCAATCAGGAAAATCCCTACAACTGGCCAGGGGAATTTAAAAAAAAAAAAAAAGAAAGAAAGAAAAAGTTTATATGACTAGTTTCAGACACGAAGCTGTAGAGATTTTTTTTAATTGTGTGTGTGTGTGTGTGTGTGTGTGTGTGTGTGTGTGGCCAGCTCAGCCCACCAGGGGGGGGGCTGGCTGGCATGTGGTGCTGTGGGATTGAACAGCGGTCCCTGTGCTTTGCAAGCTTGTTCTAAGTAGGTGCTTTAGACCACTGAGCCATCTCACCAGCCCCGAGATTTTACTTCTAATTCATGATCATTTTCTTCACCTTGTCAGCAGGTTGGTTACCTCTAACCTAACCTGGGCCTACTAGTAATCTAAGACATACTCTTCACAGTGCAGCCATTTTCTTTAGGTTGTGACATGCTTTGGGGGTGAAAATGTATTTTGACACTTATTCTGAGACAATGTAGGTTCTATCAAGATAGGGTTTTTGTTCACCACTCTAACCCTCCCATAAAGAAGAGTGCATGTAATCTGTAGTAAGCATTAAATATTTGTTGAATGGATTCATTTTTTAAGCAAATTTCTCAACTCAAAGTCAAACTGAGCAGAGAAAATCCTCATCCCCTTGTTTTTTGGTTTTTTTGAGATAGGACCTGGCTATGTAATTCACGTTGATCTTGCCCTCACTAAACAGCCCAAATAGGTCTCAAACTCATGATCCTCCTGTCTCAGCCTCTTCAGTACTGGGATAAAAGGTGTGCATCACCATGCTGAGCTCTATACTCATTTTTCAAAAAGAAAACTATGCACTGTCACTGTAAAAAATAAAGGGTATATATAAGGTAACTACTGGTTCTCTGAAGAAAGAACACCTATAATTAATGTCTATAAACTTTTCCAAACAGCCAGGCATAATGGCAAATACCTACAATCCCACCACTTTGGAAACTGAGGCAAGAGGATCACTGTGAGTTCAACGTCAGCCTGGGCTACACTGTGAGTTCAATACCAACCTGAACTGCACAGGAAGATCCTGCTTCCCCCCTCAAAAAATACCCCAAAATAATCCATGTGTCTATATAATCGTTATAGAAAGAAAACATGTTAGCAAATAAGCAAGCCTATTTTTTCTTCTCACAAAAACAAAAGCTTAGAACAGGTATCTAATAAATAAAAAAAATCAAGAATGTGAAAATCTTCTGTAGAATATCACCACTTTCCATAAATATAACAAAAGTATAGTCAATGGCATATAGTCGCATCTTTTGTGTTTCCTGTTAGCCCAGATATTCACAACGTTTTCTTCTAAAATCACTTAAATTAAACATTATAGTCTAACAGTGTTTTCTGAAAGACATTAAGCAGTATCAGTCTCAAAGCACTGGATCGGATTAATAAACATTTATCCTGATGTAGGTAAAAGCTACTAAAAGTGTGGAAGGGGAAGGAAAAAAGACATAGTTTTTTTTTTATTATTATTTTTTTAAATTTTATTATTTATTTGTGTGTGTGTGTGTGTGTGTGTGTGTGTGTGTGTGTGTGTGGCCAACTCAGCCCACCAGGGGGTGGGTGGCCTGGAAAGTGGTGCTGGGGGATTGAACCGTGGTCCCTGGGCTTTGCTAAGCTTGTTCTAAGTAGGTGCTTTAGACCACTGAGCCATCTCACCAGCCCCCATAGTTTGTTTTTAAATGGGATAAAATATACCAGACACTTATCCCTTCTTACCTTATTAGCACGTATCTGTTTGTAAATGTCTGTTTGTTGACGAATTCGATACTCCAAGTCTGAAACATGAGCCTGAAGCCAGTTCCAGCGGCTGACAATAGCTGCTCGGTCTGAAGCCCATCTCCATTCTGACCTGCGTTTCCTAAAAGGAAATAAACTGAGTGAAACTTGAGAGCAGCAATAACATATACCAGTGAGGGCCTTATGGGTTGGTTATAACTTCTACAAGAAACTAAATCGAAGGTCAAGAAAAGGTCAAGATGGACACTCGGACATGCACAACACACCGGACCTATGTGGGATGAGCCCCTCCAAATTAAGAGAAACTATCTCTACTATCATTGTCCTACAGCATAACATTCCTCTGAACCTGCCTTCACTTCTCAGGAGATGTATTTTCTATGTCAAAGAAAAAAGACATAGCGAGGCACTTGATGATGTACTCCTATAATTGTAACACACCACTCAGGGTGCTGAGGCAGGAGGATCAATCTGAATTCAAAGCCAGCCTGGATTACATAAGCAATTTCAAGACCAGGCTACACTACACAGTGAGAACCCTGTCTCTCAGATGGTTGGTTGGATGGACAGACAGACAAAATTAAACTATGTAGAAATATTAAGAGTTGTTAGGTATTATTAAATCTGATTTTAAAAAAGCTAAGCAAGAATTTAGCAAGGCTCAACATCATAAAACTCAGTTTTTTAGTATGGCAAATTTTCACATATCCTAAATTGAAAGAAATCCCAATGAAATTCTCTACAGGTATGTTTTTTAGTGTTGTCTTTATTTTTTAAATTTTTCTTTGTATACATTTTCCTTTCCTTCCTTCTTTTTTTAAATGTGTTTGGTACAGGGTCTCACTATGCAGCTCACTGTAGTGATCCTCCTGTTTTCAGCCTCAGAGCAACGGAATTACAGGCATGTGCCACCACGCCAAGCCTCAGTGGCAGCTCAGTGTGTCCGGGGATGGGGCCGGCACAGTATGTGTTGCTGGTGATAGAACCTGAGTCCCTGCACCTGCCTAAGCAGGCATTTAGTCTGCTGAGCTATCTTGTAGGCCCCTGTACGTGGTCTTCAACGAAAGCTGAGAAACCAATCTGGAAGATCACACAAATGTAAAGGCCAAAGAAGAAACCTTCTGGAAAGTGCATTACTGATCTTAATTCCAGATATCAAGATTCACCATAACACTATGATAATTAACGAAGTATAAGATGGACAAGAGACCAATGGAACCAAATACCCTGCTTCAAAAAATAAGATTATTCAATAAACAGTACTGATAGTTTTCTACATGTAAGTAAAATATGTTTTCCTTCATGATATAATGCCATGATTTTGGGTTTTGAAACTCCTATGTCTTATCTGTATAGTCAAACTTAAAACTTTGTAACACCATTTCTTTGAGATGGAGCACAGGAGATAATTTCTTAAGTAATAAGGTACGTACAATTACCTAATATTCAACATACAAAAAAAACCCCTTAATGAACAAAGTTAAAAGGTCAGGCACTAGCTGAGAGAAAGTATAACATAGAGAATTAAAATTCAAGTGTAAGAGGCTAGGAAGATAGCTCAGTGGTCTAAGCGCCTGCAAGGCAAGTATAAGGACTTGGGTTCGATTCCCATGCAGTGCGGGCCCAGCACTGAGCCCGCCTCAGTAACCAGTGTGGTGGCACATGCCTGTAATCCCAGCACTAGGGAGGCTGAGACAGGCAGATCACTATGAGCCTGAGCTGTGTAGCGAAAGCCTGTAACCAAATATACAAAAAGATTCTAAAAATTAGTATTACTATACAAACAGAACTCCAAGATACAGTTGCAGAAGACAAGCTCATAACTATTAATTATATAAATATATGCCAAATCTTATTAGAGTTTGGTTAAAATATAAAATATTAATTTTACGTAAAAATTAAGACGCTGTTTTCAATCTAGACTAGAAATACTCAAAAATCTGGTAGAATAAGGTCTGTTAACAAAATCGCAATTTGTACACTGGTTTTATTTATTATTTAGTACAGGGTCTAACTACACAGATCGGACTCACAGTGATTGTTTTCAGCCTCCCAAGCACTGGGATTACAGGTATGCACCACCATGCCCAGTCTCAGTTGCTGTCTCCGTGTGCCCCAGGGACAGGGCCAGCACAGCTTGTGGTGCCAGGTATCCAACCTGATCCCTGCCTATGCAGGCACTTTAGTCCGCTGAGCTATCTGGCTGGCCCAGTATACTGGTTTTAATAGTTAAAAAAGAACTGGGGGCTGGAGAGATGGCTCAGTGGTCTAAAGCACCTACTTGGAACAAGCTTGGCAAAACACCAACTGCAGTTCGATCCCCCAGCACCACATGCCAGCCAGCCCTGCTCAATGGTGGGCTGAGCTGGCTACACACACACAATAAATAAATGTAATAAACAAATAAATAAATTAAAAAAAAAAAGAACTGGCATCACCACTTTTGAAGAGAAATATAGGAATATATGGCTAGTTGGAAAGCATGCACTGCCAATGACTACGGAATTGGACTTGTAGAATGTAACCTTTTTATCTGCATGAGCACAAACAGGTTCACGACAGAACTTATAACCAACTAAAAATTAGCTACATCTAATTCCTATAAAGGCTAAGTAAACTAACTCCATTCACCAATATGACTATATCTCAGAAAACAGCATTCAATGTAAAACAAAAACCACAGAATAAACATAGGTACACAGAAATAGTAAAATACTGTTCAGCAACCCAACTAGCATACATATCTAAACATGATTACTCTCAACACAACGGCATATGAAAATGAAAATAAAAACCTGTTACAATATAACTAAGCAATGAATGCATGAAAAATACACACAGGACACATAAATCAGGCCTCAATAGCCAAGGGGAATGGCAAGGTTGGATTTTAGCTCTACTTGCAAAGCAACGTTTAATTTCTTTTTAAAATTCTGAGATAAATCTGATAATATCTAACATTCTTTAAATATTAAGGGGATACTAGGTGCCTGTGAAAATCTGCATACATTTTACAACTGAAGTATGTCATTTTGCCACAATATGATTTGTTCAGAAAGAAAGTCATATTGAAAAACAAAACAAAACAAAGGGTTTTTTGTTGTTGTTGTTGTTGTTGTTGTTGTTGTTGTTGTTGTTTTTGAGAGGGCCGGGGAGATGGCTCAATAGAGTAAGCACTTTCCTGGCATTCCGCCAAAAAACAAAACACAACACTTGCCAATTTTTTTTGAGAGGGGTCTTGCTATTATTGTTCAGACTGCTCCTGAACTCACCATGTAGCCCAGGATGGCATGAACTCACAGCAATCCCCAACTCAGCCTTCGGAGTGCTGGGACTATAGGTGTGGGCCGCCGCCACTATGACCAGGTTAAAATTTTTAAGTGATTATATGTAAATCTTTAATACTGCCTACACCAACAGGGCAAAATACAGTTAACAGCAACAAAAAGTACCCAACCTGGCCACAGTAAGTAGGGTCAGAGATGATGTAATGCTTAATCATAATACTTAGGTGTGTCGTACTATCCAAACATCAGCTATTCAAATCAACTACTGTTTGAAAAAATATTATGCAATTATCTTTTTTAAAACCAAGGCATCTTCCCTAATCCTGAGGAAATCGCTATAATTATTTTAATCATTAATTTATTGATTTCATTTAAATAAGCATATAATTAAAACAATTATATGCTTCAACACTGACTGCAGCTCTAGCTTAATCCAAATTCAAGGAAACTACTCCTCCAGAGACCAAGAATAACATCCCTAGATATCCCCCTCCCTTGTTAAATAAAGTCAATTAAGCTCCAAATCCTGTTACTTTTACTGTTCCTCAAGGCTTCCTGCTTTTTTGGTTTCAATCATTTCAAAAGCCCACCAGGTCTCGCCTCTCACTGCCAGGCTAGTCTTCCCAAGGCTGGTCAGTCATACTTCTCCTAAATGAATTACCCATGGACAAATGCAAGCTTCTGTCACTCCTAAGTTTAAGTGGCTTCCCTTTTCTTAAATCCAGCCTTCAAGGAGACAATAATTCGGGGGAGGGGGGATACTGTAAAATACAATAACTAAAGCCAAAAGGTGCTAATATATTCACTGAATGACAGTCGGCTCACAAATTTGTTTCAACAAACTGTCAGAAAATACTCTCCCCATTCTCATTTATGGCAACTAAGGCAAGTGAAAGATCATTTCTTGGCAAATTAACGTTACTTCCTACTTAGTCACCTTAGGTAGACAAAGAATTCTCTGGCAATCCTCTTACCCCCTTCCCCACAGCGATCCTAAATTTAGCTCATAACCAGTCTCACCACAGGCCGCTAGGACAGTAAATACTAAACTGGCAAGAAAGACGAAACCTAGCTGTTTAATCTCTGAGTTTATAGACATTTTTAACCAACGTAAGTTTTTTATCTTTCTCTTGTTGGAGGGAAGATGAATGAAAAACATAGTCTGAAAATACAAATAAACATTTTAGCTCACAAAAATTTTGGTATGTCTTTGTGATGTTCATTCTTATAACTCTCCAACACAAACTGAACCTTTTGGTGTTACTGTCGTCATTGTTATCTATCAGACTGACCTTGTGCTTGCCAGGCAGACATTTATGTCACTGAGCTATGTCCCTCCCCCTGCTCCGGGGCACTTTTTTTTTTTTTTT